TCCAGTGGCATATTTTGAAGATGGTTGTTCCATTCTGGTTTTTACCTGCACACTCCCCCGGCTCTCCCAGGATCCTGCAGTTTCTGGTACAGTTCTCATGTAGCATATTTTTACTCTGTTGAGCAGCTATGAATGTTTCACTATAGACATGATATTGCAAAGAAAAAGATCCACGTGGCAATGTCCTGTTTTTTCTTCATCCTCCTTCACACAGCCAGGCCTTGAAGGGCAGGTTGATGCTGGTGTTAGACCGGTGTTGCTCCAGCTGAGCACCACACCCCCCCAAGGCAGTCTGGTGTGTGCCCTGCATGGAATGAGCTGCTCTTGCAGGGAATTCCTGCCTGGGGTGGGGGCTCAGAGCAGCACTGCTCCCCTCTGACCCTGGGAATGGGAATCACTGACACCTGAGCACGGCTCTGCTGGTGCCACGTGCCTGAAACTCGAGTCACACAGGATGCACAGGTGGCCTTGGCTGAAACCTAAGGAGTAAATGCTCAAAAGCTTGGGAAATTGCCAGGATTAAACCTGCCTTTAAAGCTCAGACTGTCCATGTGCTGGGCACTGGTGCAGTTGTGTAGGAGTCCCACTGGATGGAACTGGGAATGTTGGTGCCACAGCGTGTCCCCTCCATGTCCCTGTCCCATCCATACAGCCCTGGGAAGTTTGGCAGGAAAGGAAGCTGGGGAAAAAAGCTCTTTTCTGGGGTGTGCATGAGGATGAGGGGTTGGTTTGAGGCCTGGTGCTTCTGCCCTATACATCCCAGCTGGGAGGAGAACATGCCAGGGGCAACAGCAATGCTGTGCTCTGATGTCATAAAAAGGAAAAAAAATGACAGTGACTTTCTAAATTGCATTTTTATGCCCTTTTGTAGGAAGCCTTGTAGGAATGTGGGGGAGTTGAGTAGAATTTTTGAGGCACCTGGAACAGGAAAAGCACTGGTTGAAAGGGCATTTTGATGGGGTTGGTGTGGAACATTTGCAGTGCCAGGGTTTAAGGGCAGGAATGGATGATAATTCCAGGTTGGGGGCTGGCACAGCAGGCAGCCTTAATTCTGGTATTTCCCACTTTTGAGCACATGAGTGTACAAAAAGTGAAAATAATGTTGCTTTTTATATATTAAATAGCTTGTAGAATATATTAGAAATCTATTTAAGTGGTTGGACTTCGTTCCAGGGTTGGGATCTTCATTCCTGTAGAGGGATGCAGGTAGGGGGACCAAATCCAGTGACTTCCTGGACTCACAGTGTCCTGCACGGAGCTTGAACTCCTCCACAGCATTTTGCACTGAAACCAGATTGTACCTTTCATCCAAAGACCTCGAGTACTTGATGGAGACCTCCTGTGGGAAGCACAATCAGCTAGGAAACGCAGGAGGGAGGTAAAAACATCCCCAAAAGCAATAAGTGTTTTGTTCCTAGGCAGGGTCAGGGTGCTGGTCCCGGGGTGTGCTGTGAGGGAGGGCGTGTGGCTCGGGAGCTCTGCGGTGACAAACAGGACAAGTTGTGTTTGTTGGGTGCTCCCCAGGGAAAGGGAGAATCCTCTCTGGAGCCCTGACGTGGGAATGCATCGCTGTCCTTCTCCGGAGGGTACTTGGGGTTCTTTGTGGGGCTCTGGCAGGAGGAGAGGGTGTTCCTGGGTGCACCAAGCACTTGCACACGGGTTTGTGTGTGTGTATATATTTATTTATTTTTAAATAAAGACGTGACATCGCTGTGCCTGTCCGTGGTGGTCCGAGCCTGGCGCCGGGAGGGTTGCGGGGGATGGTGGGGACGGGCCCCGGGAGGAGGAGGCGGCTGCCATTGCCGCGGGGTGCGGGACATGGGATTGGGATCGGGGTTGGGACCGGGATCGGGGCTGGGACCGGGATCGGGACCGGGATCGGGGACCGAGCCCTGCCCCGTGTGTGAGGGGCCGGGGCTCGGTGTGGGCGGGGCCTGCGTTCCCGCCTTCGCTGCAGGGGCGGGGTCTGCGCGTGACGTGGGGCCCGGCGGGAACGGGACCCGGATCGGGATTTGGGATCGGGAACGGGACCCGGGATCGGGATTTGGGATCGGGAACGGGACCCGAGATGGGAACGGGATCCGGATCGGGATTTGGGATCGGGAACGAGACCCGGGATGGGAACGGGACCCGGGAACGGGACCCGGGAACCGGGATTGGGAACGGGACACGGGATGGGAACGGGACACGGGATTGGGAACGGGACACGGGATGGGAACGGGATCCGGGAACGGGACACGGGATGGGAACGGGACTCGGGAACGGGACCCGGGATGGGAACAGGATCTGGGAACGGGACCCGGGATCGGGATTTGGGATCGGGAACGGGACCCGGGAACGGGACACGGGATCCGGGATTGGGAACGGGACCCGGGATGGGAACGGGACACGGGATTGGGAACGGGACACGGGATGGGAACGGGACACGGGAACCGGGATTGGGAACGGGACCCGGGATCGGAATTTGGGATCGGGAACGGGACACGGGATGGGAACCGGATCCGGGAACGGGACACGGGAACCGGGATTGGGAACGGGACCCGGGATGGGAACGGGACACGGAACTCGGGAACGGGACGCGTGATGGGAACGGGACACGGGAACCGGGATTGGGAACGGGACTCGGGATCGGGACACGGGATTGGGAACGGGACCCGGGATTGGGAACGGGACTCGGGAACGGGACCCGAGATGGGAACGGGGCTCGGGATGGGAACAGGACCCGGGATTGGGAACAGGATCCGAAAACGGATTGGGATTGGGAACGGGACCGAGGACTGGGAATGGGACTTGGAACGAGACAGGTGCTGGGAACGGAAACGGAGCAGGGAGCGAAACGGGGGAAGGGCAGGAAGAGGGAGCTGGGAACGGAACTGGGAATGGGGCAGGGGCTGGGAACGGGACAGGGCTGGGAACGGGACAGGGCTGGGAGCGGGGCAGGGCAGGGAGCGGGGCAGGGCTTGGAACGGGACAGGGCTGGGAGCGGAGCGGGGCTTGGAACGGGGCAGGGCTGGGAACGGAACAGGGGCTGGGAACGGGACAGGGCTGGGAGCACGGGGATGTCACCCAGCACCCTGGGGTGTCCCAGTGCCCGAGCTCCCAGGGGCTGCCGCGTCCCGGTGCCCAGATCCCTCCTGGACCCGCGGCGGCTCTGACAGCCCCTGCCAAGCTGGGCCCGTGTTTCCTGCTCCTCCGGAGCTGCAAAAAGCAGCTCCAGCGTGGGAGAGGCACAACCTGCTTTCAGCAGCCACCAGCAGCCTTCCTCCTCCTCCTCCTCCTCCTCCTCGCTACCCGTGCCAGGCTTGCCAGCACTGGGGTGAGCACGCACCGAGCTGGCACGAAATGCAGGTTAATCAGCAAATGCATTGGTGAGGCTGCAGGCAATATCATGCTGGCTTAAACATAAATCAGTGTTTAATTAGCAAGTCTGGCTCAGCCGGGGTCCACCCACTGTTCTGTAACGTGTTTGTGCCCCACAGGCACAGCCCAGCTCTGGGTGCTGGGAGCTGCAGGTTGGGTTTCGTGTGGCAGAGGAGCCCAGGGGTCTCCCCATGGCCCCCACAGCAAGGGCCAAACCCCCAAATCCCTTTCTTCACAGTCAGGCACAGGCACAGACTGCCAGGGATCCAGGGGCAGCCACAGCTGCTCTGGGCACCCTGTGCCAGGGCCTGCTCACCCTCCCACAGGACAATTCCTTCCCAATATCCCACCTAACTCTGCCCTGTATTAGTATGAAGCCATTCCCTGTGTCCTGTCCCTCCCTCCTTTGTCCCCAGTCCCTCTCCAGCTCTCCTGGAGCCCCTGTAGGCCCTGGCAGGGGCTCTGAGCTCCCTGGAGCTTCTCCAGGTGAGCACCCCCAGCTCTCCCAGCCTTTCCCCTGCCTCACTCCAACACTTGTGCTCAACACAGACCTTGCTGCTGCTGCTGCTCTGACCCAGGTCACCCAGGTGCTCCTAAAACCACTATGGTCACAGTGACAACAGCTGTGACAGGTGACACAACAGCACTGGAGGCTGCGAGGGTGGCAGGGGAGCAGCACCGGACACCCGGCCGTGGTGTCCATCCGCTGTCCACCCTCTGTCCATCCGCTTCCCACACCCACTGGGAGTGCAGTGGGAGGTGGGATGGCCCCTGGAGCTCTGTGGAGAACCAGGGCCAGGGATGGCAACTCCAGCACTGCCCTGGCAGTCTGTGCCTGTGCCTGACCGTGAAGAAAGGGATTTGGGGGTTTGAAATCCCACATACACACTCCTTCTTGCACAAGGCCACCACACCAGTGAGCACTGCCCATGGCAGGTCCCCTGCAATCCCTGTGGGCACAAATGCCACCTGCACGCCCAGCCCAGCTCAGCAGTGAAGGGTTAAGTGCCAGCCCAGCTCTGCGGGAAGTTTTCCTCTCCTCCTTGCCAAGGTTTAAATTTAGTTCCTGCATGAACCCAGAGGACGTGGGCATCGGGTTGCTCTGGGATTGGCAGTGCTGGGGAGCACCTGCTGCTGTTTCATAGCAAAAATTCCCCCAAATGCTGGGACTGGGCTGCACCAGCAGCACTTGGGGTGGGCAAGATGCAGAGACCCTCATGCCATCCCACCACTAGCTTGGGGTGTCCCCAAAAAAGACACATGGTTGCAGTCCTTTGGTGAATCCCAGGGGTGCTCCATGCCCGGGCTGATCCCAAGCCTTGAGTTTGCTGCTGCTTGGATTGGCTGTGGGGGAGCTCCTGCTTGGGGTGGGGTGAGTTTAGGGGAAAGCCCAGCGTGGGCACACCACTGCTGTGGTGGGGTGGGCAGCGGCACTGGGAAGGGATCCAGGGTGGGGAAAGAGCTGCAGCTCGAGATCCTGCCGTGCCCTCAGCACCAGGGATAGGACATCCCCAGAGGGGTCTGCAGGTCGGGCCGTTCCATGGGGTCACACACCCGGGAGCTGTATGGGATGCCCTGGGACCTGTCCTGCGGTTTGGGGAGAGCAGGGTGGGATGAGGAGCAGGGATGAGCCTGGGGCAGGTCCCCGAGGCTGGGGGCGGCGGTGGCATCCCTGCAATGCGCTTGGCATCGGCTGCCCCGGCTGGCGCTGCCCGAGTCCATGTGATCCGGGGCTCGCCCTGTGCCGCTGCCCGGTCCAGCCGCCGGGACGGCGAGGGAGCCACAAGGTCGAGCGGCCCCAGCCCCGAGCAGGGCTCCTCCCTGCCACCATGCCCCGCGGGAAGAGGGACCCGGTCCTGCTGTCCCCCGCCGAGCTGCCCGGCCCCGGGGCCGAGGGTCCCCGCGGGGCCGGGGACGGTCGGCGCTCCGCGGAGGAGGAGGAGGAGGAGGACGGACACCTCCCGGGGCTGCCCCGCGACGACCTCACCAAGAGCATGTCGAGCTCCTCCGTGTCCTCCTACCACTCCGCCCTGTGCTCGGACGGCACGGAGACCTTCAAGGACTGCCTGGAGTTCCTGGACGAGGAGGGATCACCCGGCCGGGCTGCCCCGGGCCGCTGGGCTCCGGCGGGGGCCCCCGGCACGGCCCCGCCGCCCGTCCCCCTCGCCCGCCCGCAGCGGGCTCAGCTGTCCAGCGCGGCTAAGAATAGCCCAGCGCCGGGCCAGGGGGGCAGGATGGGTCCCCTCGGTGGGGACCGGCAGCCTGTGCCGGCCGCGGGGGAACCGGCCGTGCCCCGGCAGCCCGGGGCGATGCTCCCCGGAGCTCCCAGCGACTCGGACGAGGTGGACGGCGAGGTGCAGGCGCTGACGGCCAGGGCTTTCCGCAGCCTCTCGGGGCTCCCCGGAGCTCGCCTCGACATGTGCAGCTCCCACACCTCCTCCAGCCTCTCCAATTCGCTGTCGGAGGACGGCGGGCGGCCGCGGCGGTGGCCGGTGGGTGCCGGGGAGCCCCGGGGGGCGGTGACAGCTCTGCACGGCCGGGCGGGATGGCCTTTCCCCACCGGCGTGGACGGGGAGCTGCTGGGCAAGGAGCAGTTCGAGTGCGTGGACGTGGAGCTGGAGACCGAGGCGAGGAAGGGACACGGCAAGAAGAGGACGGTGCCCAAACGCCAGATCCTGCTGAAGAGGAAGGAGAGGAAGGAGACGGGCTTTGGCCCCCGCGGGGATGGCCCAGCGCCCCAGCCCCCTGCCAGGAAGGAGCCCCCCAGCAAGGGCAGAGCCGTCGGAGAGGATTTCAGGCTCAACTACCAGCAGTTCATGAAGGCGGCGTCCCTGGAGGCCGGCACCGACAGGACCCGGGCGGCCTCGAGCCTGGTGAAAAACGTCCTGGCCAAGAAGATGCAGTACGAGCAGCGCATCAAGATGGAGCAGAAGGGGCTGCGGGGCAGCTCGACCTCCTCGGGGCCGTCTTCCGCCGGCACCGACCTGCTGGGGGATGGTCTGGAGGGCAAGTCCAGCTCGCTGTCCCGCTCCGACTGCAGCTTCTCGGCCGAGGACCTGCGGAGCGGCGGGATGCCGGTGGCCACGGCGGCCGCGGGGAGCACCGCCACCACCACGCATCCCACCAAGGGCGTGGTGCTTAGCGAGGCGACGAGGGAGACTGTCTGCAACCTGAGGAAGACTTTCAACGAGCTCAACCAAAGGATGAAGTACCAGGAGGTGCTGGAGGGCCGCTGGCTGCCCGCGGCCGCGGAGGAGCACGCGTCGGAGAGGATCTGCTACCAGCGAGCCCGCGCCTTGTTCGAAGCCCAGCCCGGGGTGGGGAAGGTGCTGGATGTCGCCCCCCGGTTTGCGAGGGCGCCGAGGCCGTGGCCCAGCCTGAAGGAGCGAGCCATCGGCCCCATCCATTCCCAAGGCCTCCCATTCAAGGCCGAGAGCCGGGCGCTCCCCGCCACTCCGCCGCGCCGCCCCTTCGCATCCTCCCGGCCGCAGGAGGCGAGGACGCTGCCGCAGAGCCACCCACAGAAGCCACCGGCAGCGCCCCGCCGGCCGCCCAGCCCCGGCACCATCCCGGTCCCGCGGGGGTCCCCGCCAGCCGCGCCCCCCAAGCCGGAGGAGAAGGGGAAGGGGCGCGTCCCGCAGCCCCGAGATGTGCGCAAGCTGGTGAAGAGCAGCTACAGCCTCAAATTCGGGACTGCCGGTGCCTCCCGCGGCACCGTGGCACCGGCCAGCAGCGGGGAGCCGCCGCCAGCCACCCCTCTGGTCATCCACTGCACCTCGGTCCGCCGGGAGCCGGCGGCTGAGGAGGTGCCGGCAGCCCCCGGCCGGGAACCGGCCCCGGCGTGCCCCGAGGGGCCCGCGAAGCCCCCGCACAGCTCCCCCATCAACATCACCAGGGTCCAGGCCACGCGGAGGGGCGCGGCCCCCACGGAGGAGCCGCCGGTGTCGCCCCCGCGCCGGGAGCGGAGCGAGCTCCGGTTGCCGCCGCGGACCGAGCGGGTGCCGCACGTGGAGACCCATCTGCACGTCCTGGTGGGGCGGCCGGGCCCCGCGGCCGCGGAGAGCTGCCCGGGCCCGAGCAGCGCGGTGCTGCGGGCGGAGAAGACCGTTCTGCTGCCGCCGCCACCCGCGAGTCCCGCGGAGGAGAAGGAGCTGCGCGGCCGTGGCGGCGGCAGAGCGCTGCCCGCTGCCGAGGGGCCGGAGCCGCCGGGACAGCGGCCCAGCAGCGGGGACAGCCGGGACCCCCGAGCCACAGCCCCGGGCGGCAGCAGCGCGGCAGAGCCCGGTGCCAACGAGCGGGGGCAGCGGCAGCCCGGCCGGCGGGTGTCGGTGGGTAACGGGCGCTCTGCCGGTGGCACCGGCCCCGCCGCCCCGCTCCGAGCCGGGGACAGCAGCGAAGGCCTCCCCGGGCGGCTGCCGGAGCAGAGGGAGACCTGGGAGCGCTCGCCGCAGTGGCCGGCGGCTACCGAGCCCTACCCGCCGGCTGCCCCGGCAGAGAACTCCAACTACTTGGCAATCCCCGAGAGAGCCCCCAAATCCACGCTGATGCCAAAGCTGTCCTCGGTCCCCAACCCAGCCAGTGCCTCTTTTGGGACCTCCATGGTCACCAACGTGACCAGCTCATCCTTTGGCTTCCCATCAACCTCCAGTCTGGCCAGCACATCATTTGGGACCCCCTTAGTTTCCAATTCCAACAAGTCTTTTGGGGCCCCTCTGGTCCCCAACATGTGCAGCACATCCTTTGGGAACCCCCTGGTGCCCAATCCATCCAGTGCATCCTTTGGGAACCCCCTGGTTCCCAATCCATCCAGTGCATCCTTTGGGAACCCCTTGATCCCCAATCCATCCAGCATGTCCTTTGGGAACAGCCTGGTCCCCAATCCATCCAGCATGTCCTTTGGGTCCTCTTTGGTCCCAAATGCATCCAGTGCATCGTTTGGGAACCCCTTGATCCCCAATCCATCCAGTGCATCCTTTGGGTCCCCACTGATGCCAAATCCATGCAGCATGGCTTTTGGGTCCTCCTTAGTCCCCAGTCCATCCAGTGCATCCTTTGCGAACCCCTTGATCCCCAATCCATCCAGCGTGTCTTTTGGGTCCTCCTTGGTCCCAAATCCATCCAGTGCATCCTTTGGGTCCCCACTGGTCCCCAATCCATCCAGTGCATCCTTTGGGAACCCCTTGATCCCCAATCCATCTAGTGCACCATTTGGGTCCCCTTTGGTCCCCAGTTCATCCAGTGCATCCTTTGGGAACTCCTTGATCCCCAACCCGTGCAGCTCATCCTTTGGGTCCCCCTTGGTCAGCAACCGAATCCCCACTTCCCTTGGGCATCCATCAGTCTCCAACATGGCCAGCTCTTTCTTTGGATCCCCTTTTGTCCCCCACCCAGCCAGCGCTCCGCTGGGAAGCGGTGCCTATCCCCTTCCTGGTGGGGAAGTGCCCTGGAGCAAGCCCAGCCCTGAGCCCCCCCTGCCCCGACCCCCCGAGGGCTCGGCTGCTGTGGGGCCCCCAGCCCAGCCCCACCCGGAGGATGCTCCTCATTTCCTCAGGGGGACCGATGGCCCCTCGCCGAGTGGGAGGAGCAGGCAAAGCCCCCCCAAGCCCTTCTCCACCGCCGTGCCCGCCCAGCGGAGGATGCTCGTGGATCCCAGCAGCGGCAAGTGCTACTACGTGGAGCCGCCACGGCAGCCCCAGATGAAAACGCTCTACGACCCCGAGACAGGGCAGTACCTGGAGGTGCTGGTCCCACCGGTGGCATCGCACAGCGGGCTCTACCAGGCACCTTTCAACCCGCTGGTCATGGCCCCGGGGGTCTATGGTCCACCCTACTCACCCTACGGCGGCTTCCCGGGGCTCCCGGCGCCGCCGCCCTCCGCCCCGTCTCCGCCGCACCCCTCGCTGCCGGCTGCCGACCACCCCGGGACCCCCGGCTCCGCTCCCAAGGGCGAGGAGCCGTCCCCTGCCGGGGGTGCTGACTGCGGCTACCTGGAGAGCCCCTACTACATCCCCACGGGCATGCGGGCCAGCCCCGGCCCCGAGCAGCCCCCGGCCCGCGCCAGCCCTGCCGCGCCCGAGGGCTCGCTGCTCCGCATGTGACGGGGATGGATGTCCCTTCCCTTGGCACGGCTTAGCCCGAACTCAGCATCACCCCTGGCACGGGAGAGCCTCCCCGGCCACGGCTGAGCTGGCAGAGCGCCGAGGGGTAGCGGGCACTGGTTGGACTTCACTGGCTTCTCATGGAAACGGGGTCAAAAAGGGTATTTTCCGGTGTGAGCACCTGGCAGCCCTAAGGGGAAATGAAGTGTGGGCCCCGGCCAGCAAAGGGACCAGAGAGGCCCTGCTTCCCCCTGTCCTGCCAGTCCCATCCCAAGGATGACCCGGGCTGGTTCGCACAGCAGGGTGATGGCCTGGTCACCCCCAGCCACGGCTGAAGCACAGACACCCCAAAATAGTAATAAAAACGCTGAAACAGCTTTAAATCTCCTTATTCATCCTGTGCTTGTGTGGTCTGTAAAGGGTGGTGAGGGGCTGAGGAACTTGGAACCTGCATTCCTTCTGTCTGTCTTGGAGTGTCCACCAGAGAAATCCCAGTCCCGAGGAGCAGGAGGGGACTCTGCAGCCATCAGTGAGCCCTAAACCCCAAACCTCAGCCCTCAGCGCCAAACCGCAACTGTGAGCCCCAACCACAGCCATGAGCCTCAAACCCCAGTCCTTAACCCCAAATCCCAGATCTGAACCCCAAATCCTCATCCAGCTCCCGCCCCTGTAGGTCCACAGCATCCCAGGAAGGACTGAGGTTGAGGAGAAGGGATCAGGCTGAGTTACAGGATTGAGTTACAGCAAAAACCTCCTGGAGAGGGGGCGCTCGGTCGGGGACACCCCATGCACAGCCCCTTTCCTGCCGCGCTGCCCCAGCCGGATGCAGGTGTGTGCTGGCTGCACCTCAGCGCCGCTCGCCAGTCCCGGGGGGTTTATAGCCCACCCCGGAGGGTTTATAGCCCGCCCCGGGGGTTCATAGCCCGCCCCGGGGGTTTGTAGCCCGGCCCGGGGGTTTGTAGCCCGCCCCGGGGGGGGTTTATAGCCGCCCCACGCCTCCGCCCCACACTTTCGGAGCGCGGCAGGATGCGGGCGGAGGTGGCAGCGTGGCTGGTGCTGAGCCTGCTGGGGGGGACAGGGGCCGAGGACACCTGCGGGGACCCCCCCGCCGCCCCATCCCGCTCCATCCCCGCGCCCCAGCTCAGCCCCGAGGAGCTGCTCTCGCCCCACATGCCCCAATCCCTGCGCTGTGACGCCTGCCACGCCATCGCCTTCCAGGTGGGGACCGGGGACACGCCACCCCAAAATACTCCTGTGGAGAGGCTTCTGCCTGGGGAGATGCTGCTGCTCCTCTGGGGCACGGCCCTGATGGATATTCCCCATCAGCACCTAAAAAAAGCCTTTTGGGGCTCTTCGTGGACCCTCTGACCCAGAAGGGGGTGCAGAGCCCAGCCCCACTCGGGGGCATGGTCACGGACAGGCTGCCGCTCCCACTGCCCGGATTCTGCCTTTTCTCACCCCAGATTGAGGAGCAGCTGCGCAAGGCAGAAGGGAAGGTGGGCAAGAAGGCTCTGAAGGAGTCGGACTACATGGAGGTGCTGGAGAGGAGCTGCTCACAGGAGTGGGAGAGGTGAGCAGAGTATCCGTGCGATGGGGGTGCCTCCGGGGATCAGGGTGATCCCAGCTACAGGCAGTCCCTAGGGGTCAGAATGTCCCCAAGGACAGAGTGCCCCGGGGGTGTCCCCAGGGACAGCGGTGTCCCCAGCGATCACTTTGCCTCCGCTCGCCCTCTCCCCGCAGTTACGGGGTGCTGGAGCTGGCCGGCGAGAAGCGGCTGTCGGGGCCGGGGCTGCGGGCGCAGCAGCCCCTGAGCGTGCTGGTGTCGGGGGGACCGTGGCCGGGCAGGTGAGTGGGGGATGGCGGTGCAGGGGACCGGGCACTGTCCCCACGCCGCCGGGTGACCAGCAGGGCCCCTCGCAGGCTCTCCAAGCTGTGCCACGGCTACGTGGGCGAGCGGGGCGAGTCGCGCATCTACGGCGCGCACCGGCGGGGCCCGGCGGCGCTGCGGGAGCTGCTGTGCCACGGCGACAAGGGACCCTGCGCTGGCCACCAGCAGCGCCCGGAGGAGCCCAGCAAGGCGCTGCAGAACGAGCTGTAGCCCGGTGTGGTTAATGCTTAATGCCCCGGTGACCTTCGGAGCCGACTTCGTCCCCAGCGGGAGGCGACACGTGCCGGGAGGTGGGCGCCTTCCCGCTGTCGCCTGTCACCGATGTCGCCGCTGTCGCTCGAGGCCCGGCCCGCCCGTGCCAGCAGCGGCGCGGACTCCGTCCGGGCGAGCCGGGAATTACTCTGTAACCCGCGGGCTCTAATGTTTCACCCCGCGCTGCTCCGGGCGGGTGCCGCCCCAATTAAAGCAGTTAATGGCTGATCCGTGCCGGGGCTGCGCTCGCCGGTTTCACAACCCCCGACCAATGGCCGCCCTCCCCCTGTCCCCGCCACCGCCCGGCCGGGGACTAAAGTCCTTCCCACGGCCATAAAACCCCCCGAGCGGGGACAGCGCCGCCGGGGACGCGTCGGAGGATGGGGACCCGCTCGGGAGACCTGGCTCAGCCCCAGGTGAATGCAGGCGCCCTCCCTGTCCCCATCCCCATCCCTTCCTCGGTGTCATCCCAGGGCGGTGGGGAGGGAGGTGGTGGCCAGGGACACTGAGCCCAGCGATGGGCAGCTCAGGGTCAGGATGCCCTGCTGGGGCTGGCAAGGGCCAGGGTGAGCCTGGGGACTGTGCTGAATCGCGGGACCAAGGGGACACGCTGGAATGCTGCGGCTGGGACTGGCTGTGCCACCTTTCCCATCACCTGCAGGGGGGATCCCCCTCCAGACTTTCCAGGAACAAAATGCCACGTAGGGATCGGTGGGTTTGGGAGCCCAGACCCCTCCTGAGGGTCAGAGCGGGCACGGGGTGGGACTGACAGGAAACACGCTGGGCCGTGGCCCGGTGTCACCCGCATCCCTCAGGGCAGAGCCCAGCCCCTCTCCCGTGGGACAGCCGGGTCCACACTGACCCAGCTCCCGCCTCGTCCCGACCGCCAGAATGGGAACGTGGCTCTGGCCCCCGCGGGCTCCCTGCACACCCCTGGGAAGGAGCTGCCTGCAGCGGGCAGGGTGAGTACCGGGGCACCCCGTGGGCAGCTCCGCACCCCAAATCCGTCTGTGACACACCTGCGGATGGAGGGCAGCCAGCCGGGACCCCTCCCATCCCTGCGGGCTCAGGGGCTCCCATGGGGCAGGGTGGGGTGCCCATCCCTGCACGCAGCCCCACGGTGAGACAGGCTGAGCTGTGTCCCCACAGCAGGACCCTGGCACGGGCACCAGGCCCCCCCGGCCAGAGGTGGACATGCTCTACAGGATCGAGGACGTGCCCCCCTGGTACCTCTGCATCCTGCTCGGCTTCCAGGTACAGCCTGGAAAGTGTCAGACCCCAAATCCCCGTTCCCACAGTGTGGGGCACCCCCAGCCCCGCTGAGCCCCCCTCGCCCCCCAGCACTACCTGACCTGCTTCAGCGGCACCATCGCCGTGCCCTTCCTGCTGGCCGAGAGCCTGTGCGTGGGCAAGGACCAGCTCACCGTCAGTTACCTCATCGGCACCATCTTCACCTGCGTGGGCATCACCACCCTCATCCAGACCACCGTGGGCATCAGGTAGAGCCGTGGCCCCGCGTCCCCCTGCCCATCCCCGGGCCCGGGCGCTGCCATCCCTCTGTCCCCGCAGGCTGCCGCTCTTCCAGGCCAGCGCTCTGGCCTTCCTTGTCCCTGCCAAGTCCATCCTGGCCCTGGAGAAGTGGCGATGCCCACCTGAAGGTGAGGGCAGGGGGGTGCAGGGGGTGTCCAGCTGCTCCCCGCCCCCCGGGACCACCTCACTGCCCTTCATCCCCAGAGCAGATCTACGGCAACTGGTCGCTGCCGCTCAACACGTCCCACATCTGGCAGCCCCGCATGCGAGAGGTACACCCTGCCACCACCCTGCCACCACCCTGCCACCACCCTGCCACCACCCTGCCACCACCCCGTGCACCCCGAGTCCCTGGCAGGCTGCTGATGCCCTCTCCATGCCCTGCAGATCCAGGGGGCCATCATAGTGTCCAGCCTGGTGGAAGTGGTCATCGGGCTGCTGGGGCTCCCCGGGGCCCTGCTCAGCTACATCGGGCCGCTGACCGTCACCCCCACCGTGTCCCTCATCGGACTCTCCGTTTTCCAGGCGGCTGGTGACCGGGCTGGCTCCCACTGGGGCATCTCTGTGCTGTATGGCATGGGGACACGGGGGACACGGGGGACAGGAGGGCGGGGTTGTACAGCACAGGGCCAGGAGGATGTCAGGGGCACGAGGTGATGCCTTGTGAAGGCTGACCTAGAACAGAGACTAGATGGAATTAAAGAATAAAGTAGGGGTTTATTAAAAGGCATCAGTGGATCCACCTTGAGCAGCAGAAGAGCCCAGCCAGGGCTGCACCCAAGATGAACCAAAATGATCACAGAATGGACAACCGCTCATGGGGTCTCTCACTTTTATAAGTAATGATCCATTTGCATATTTGGGTTAATTGTCCAATTACAGCTTCAGGATATAAAGTCCCATCCTCCTTGTTTTTCTCTCTTCAGCCCATGTTGCTTGTACTCTTGGGCCTGAGATTTGGATCATTTGTCCATCATCCCCAGCTAGAGAAGGAATTGTTTTGTCTCTCTAGTTTGTGAAGAGAGCTCACCATCCCGTAGTATGAAGCTCAGAACCGCACACTAAAGCAGCAGAGAATGTGAAAAATAGAAAAGCCAAAACCTGAGGCATCAGAGGGATCCCGTCTGTCTTTCTCCCCAGGACCATCTTCCTGATTGTCCTGTTTGCCCAGTACCTGCGGCAGGTCTCCATCTGCCTGCCCGGCTACCGGCGGGGCCACGGCTTTGTCCTGCTCCGCATCCAGATCTTCAAGATGTTCCCGGTAGGGACTGGCTGAGAGCATCCTGGGGCGGCCCCGAATTAATTCCCCCGTTTACCCCCCCGTGGGCTCGGGAGCGGTGCGGGAGGGTCCCGGTGTGTGCCCCGCAGATCATCCTGGCCATCATGCTGGTGTGGCTGATCTGCTACGTGCTGACCCGCACCGGAGTGTTCCCCAGCCGGCCCGAGGAGTACGGCTACAAGGCCAGGACGGACGCCCGCGGGGAGATCCTGTCCGTGGCACCCTGGTTCCGTGTCCCCTACCCCTGTGAGTGCCCGGCAGCCCTGGGTCCTCCCCTGATACCCCTGGGGGATGTGGGGACCTGCTGCAGCATCACCGGGGAACACCCGGGGGGGCCCAAAGTGGCACCGGTGAGCAGCGGCTGGGGACTCCTGGGCTGTCCCCAACACTGACCTGCTCTGCCCCCGGGCAGGCCAGTGGGGGCTGCCCACGG